AAAGCTAAGAATCTGGCTAAACGTTACCCAGAAGACTTATGTAGAAAACGAATTTTTTAATGAAGGTTTTTTTCCGTAAGAAGAAATATTCTAGCCAGCAAAAAGCCTGTCGAACTTTTAAATGAAGTTTATGTAAAGGGGTTGCAATTAATATTTCCACGAGTGTGTGTTTCACTTAGAATCAAACATTATCCGTTTCAATATCTGAAGGTGAAAGATCTTTCAGCAAGTTAGCTATCATCAAAGGTTATCTTCTTTTTACAATGGATCAGAAGTGATATTGCTACTTGATTGATCCTTTCAATTAAATCAGATTTAGCCAATAATATTTCTTATGAAGAAATTATTTTTGCAGCAAAGAAGGCCCGGAAGATGTGTTTAATATTAGGACTTAATTTTACATAGTTTGCTTTTAAAAACCAAAACTAATTAAATGTGATTTTTTATGAAAGTAAACAAAAAATAACTATACTAACTTATTAAGTATTTGTCATTTTAAGAAGTAAAATTGGGCATCCATTAAACATTTGGACCTGGGCATCACAAGAGCTCTGGGCGGGCCTGTATATATATATATATATATATATATATATATATATATATATATATATATATATATATATATATATATATATATATACAAACGTGTGTGTGTGTGTGTGTGTAATACGTCAACAGATAAGAAACAAGTAAGAAACATTTATCTTATGCCTAAAGTATGCTACATACTTTATTTATGTGTATATCCATGACTTTTTGTATGATAGTACGTAACATGCACATGTACGTACATACTTATATACGTATATGTAACATACATACGTTCATATATAAATATGCACTCGTATTAGTATATATTATTCAACAACATTCTTATGATTTTATGATAAATAAACGTACTTTTTATAAAATACAATAAATGAATAGTTAAAAAATATATAGTTTTTATATAATAAAGCTTGTTTAGCATAAAATATTTTATATTATAATATAATATATCTTTTTTTAGAAAAACTTTTATAGTTTAAAATATAATTTATTTTATAACATAAAATATAATATATTTTTTTATAATAAAGCTCATTTAGCAACTAATAATAAACAGTTTATCTAACAGTTATTAATGAGGAAAACTCAATAAGCTTGTTTTGTTTGGATACCATTTTTTATTTTTCTTAATATAAATGAAAATTTCTCCGATAACAGTTTTAACAAAGGGTTACATTTTAGCGTTAACAGACTTCCAATAACTATATATTTTTTTCTGCCGTTAACTAAACGGAGACATTAGAATGCAAGTTTATTTTATCGCTGGCGTTAAAAACTGCCGTTTTGTTTTTATCCGCCGATAGCTTATCCCATGGTTTAACGGAGGTATGTGAATACGGCTGCTGAACGGTATGTTAAAGTTTTCTAATCCTTTAGTGTCATATCTTTTTCTTTTGCTTTTATACAATTAATTTAAGAAGTGTGATGGGACACACCCGAATTTATATTTTAGTATGAACAGCATGTGTGAATTTAGCTTTTTTATAGACAGTTCTAACGGCATGCTTTTGACGTCGATAAAGTGATTTTAAATTGGATTTATGTGTAGTTGCTCATGCTATATTACCATATGTTTAATAGGTATGTATTAATGAGAAATAAAGATGCTTTAGATTTTCTTGAGATAAAGGTTGGAATAAATGATGGAAAAAAGTTGGAATAAAAGTGACACTGAGGAGACTGTCTATTTCTTTCTCAAATATTGAAGAAATCTTTAGTGTTTTAGGGTTAAGTGTTTTCTCTACTGTTGACAATCAGAACTTTGCTTGACCATCCTCTTCAATTTATTGAATTTATTTGCCGGTTAACCATAATTGGTATTAGTTAATAGTTTTTGGAAACAGTTCCATGTGCTATTACAAATTTCTATATTTTTAAATATATGATACATTTAGTTAGCATACTTTGCATAGCAATGACTACTAATCTCATACATCTATAACACCTTTAAGATGTATTTATCACAGCTTTTTACTGTGGCATGAAAAAACCCAGTCCCAGTTTTTGAAACAGTTTTACCTCTGGAATTCCATCTAATTGAAACCAATTGTATTTTCTCTTACATAATGACATGTTTTTTATTAGAATAATATATAATAAAAACTCGTCTTAAACATACACGATTATTTTTTATTTCAACCCAGAGCGACAAATATTACATATCTTAATAAGATTTCTTATTAAGAACCTAAGTAAGATTAGTAAGGCTTGCAAGACGTGTAAGGAAACTAATAATAACTTATTATAATTTGTAAGTTTACGCAAGATTTCTTAGTAAGATTTGTCAGAAATGTAAGATCCTAATAAGATTTGTAATTTATACAATAGTTTCTGAGAAAGATTTGTAAGATCTTATAAGACTATTTTGTAACTATTCCGACTTTACTAAATTCCACTCATATTTTTGCGTAAAGGTAGAATATTGTATCGCGAAAATATGAGTCGAATTTAGAAGGGTTGGAGTAATTACAAAATATTCTCATAAGATTATTTGAACGTATAGTCATTCAAGATCGTATGGAACATTCTTGCATAAGTAATTCGCTGTGTTATATATTATATTTATAGTACATAATGTTGAGATATATACTATCATTTTAATAGTTAAAAACTATTTTGATAAGAAATTATATAAAGTACTTAATTGTTTTGTTTATTAGTATATGCTAACAACTTAAAGTTAGTTATTAGCATATGCTAATATCTAACACAATTTAGTTTTAAAATTAATTTGTTCTGGAAAAAAATTTCAGAATATAACAGTGCTCATCTTAACAGTATATGTATTACATATAATATATTATACATTAAATACTTATGCAAGACTTCAATACTGCAACACTTATTAAAAATTATAAAAATAAAGAATTACAGATTAGATAGAATAATACTCATAAAAATTTGATAGACTAAATTTATTTTCTGCTATTTACAAATTTAGTAAAAATACAAACACAAGTCAATTTATATCACATTGATGCTCAGCAACTGATAAAACTCTACAATATAAAACTGCGCAAAGTTCAACTGCTTAAATATTTTCATTTTATATCAAGTTCCATCAGATTGATCTTGTTTACAGCTGTGTCAACAAAGTATTTTACAATGGCAGAATTGATTTTTCTAGTACTATACAATATTGTTTGGAGTATCTTTCGTTAGCATTGTCGCCACAATAGTTTGTTTTTGGATCGACTAAGTAAAACTTTAAATTTTCTGCATCGAGATATTTTGTGCAAAATTAATATTGTTTTATGACAATACGTAACCAACAATGATGCATTTATCAACACCTTCCTGAATATATAGTTTAAGAAAGAAAATTATTATATTTATTTTTTGTTTAACTGTTATTAATAATTACTCAAGACTAAGTCTAATACTCAAGAGGAAGACTGTAACACATTACCCAGTTTAACTACTTATTAGTGGCTTGTTGTAGCTGCTTTTTACTCTTCTCTTCTACATATTTAACTAAATACATGATAATATTACATGAATTTAAGTTTAGGCTAAAATTTTTAATACAATTGATAACATTCAAAAACTCAACTCTTAGCTCAATAATTCTCAATAATAACTCAAATATTTAATAACAAAAAACTCAAATAATTTTTTTTTTTTTGTTCTTCATTACAATATCCAATACAATATTTACAAATATATCAATAAGAAAAATTATATGCAAAAAATCCGGTAAAAAAAAAAAGAATAAAGAATTTTAAAAAAAAGAAAGATAAAGAACGCACATACTCAAAGAAGACCATTCAGGTCTTGGTTCTTTTTCACCAAGAACTGTTGTTAATAAACTTTAACTTTAAATATTCAAAGAGTATTTTATTTAAAGTATATAAATTGTACTAAAATATCATACAAAATGCATAAAAAAATCATTTAAAAAAATATTTACCATTTACTTACGTATTTTCTTTTCTTCCAGAGTACTTGAATTCTTCACTTTTAATAGCAATGTTACACTCTTTCAGGCAATACAATAATTAGCATACCTTTGTTACTCAAATTTTTATAACTGAATTTGATGGGTTTTGTAGTTTACCAAGTTGTACTTCAATGATGACTAAGAATGAACACTAAGAAAAGCACAAGTTTCAGACTACTGTACAAGTACTGCCAGTGCAACTTTTAACAAAATTCAAATAATGGTGTTTGAATATATTTTCTCACATAAACTTTAATCGATATTGTATAAAAGAAAATAAAAATGAGTGATGAAAAAACTAGGTATAACTAAAAATATATAAATATATTTTCAATTGAAAAAATTACTTTTTTTAATTTTCTTTTGAACAAAAAATAAGTCCATTCATGAGAAAAATCAAAATTTTTTAGAATTATTTTGTTCCATAAAAAAGCTTCACGAATAAAAACGCAAAATTTACCAAAGTTTGATTGAAATTGTGGTTGTTTAAGAATCTTAAAAGCTTCCTTATAAGAAATAAACTTCAAGAGATTCTCGTGACTTGATATTTTATTTTTTTAAATAATAAAATATTTGTTAACATTTAAATAATATGCTTAAAAGTTTGTGTTAGATCTTAAATTTATTATTTTATTTTTATTACTCTATTGGCATTTCAAATGTTTGATTTATTTAATAAAAAAGACATTTTAAATGTCTTCTTTATTAAATAAATCAAACATTTAAAATGTCATACAGTATAAGTTTTTTTTTTCATAATTTATTAATAATAGTTTAGATTATATAGCTATTATAAGATATATTTTTAAAGATATCAATAATATATATGCAGCATTGTCGATGCCATTGTCAATGCCAATGTCAACTTCAATGCCATTGAAGTTGTTAAAAACTGATATTTTACATTTTAAATGTCTCTTTTGCTTTATTTTTTTCTGTGTTTGATTATGAAACCCCATCTACTAACATATTAAAACAGTGTACAAAAGGTGATGTTACTAGAAGTTGTAGTCTACGTATGTAGAGCTTTCTAAAATTCCATGTTTCTGAGGTTTAATTATTTTTTAATTTAACAATTTTAGCTATTTTTCATATTTAGTTTGCGTACAGCAAATAACAACTTTAAGCTTATACATTATCTTTAGTTATAACTTAATTATTAATGATTTGATTTATAGATTTTTAAAGCAATACAAGATTGAATTTAGCAGAAGGCTAAATTTCTGCTCTGGAGACAAAAAAAGAAGACAGCAAAAATGACCAGTCAAAATAAAGATTAAAGAGACAAATAATTGTGTATATCTTGGTATAGATGATTTATCTTCATTTTGTTATAATAAAACAAAAAATGTTATTAAACTTTGGGATTTACCTGTAACTCCAAACTCTTTACAGAATTTCAATGTTTGCTCTGAGAAGTTGAATGAACAAATTTATTAAATGGTAAGTTTTTATATAAAAGTCTTTATGTCTGATGATTGAAAATCTTTATTCATAGATTTAGCTTTTACAACTTTAAAAACTTTTTCATATATTATGGTCAAAAATTCATAGTGTTAATTAACATTTTATTGTGTAACAATCAACATATCAAAGCTTGGTTGGGAAGCGAGAGCGATCCCTCTCTAATACTGACCACGGAAAAACTGGCCAGGTTTTCTAGTCGATTTAACGTAACAAAAATTTTTTGTTGGATTTCAAAGTTGGTGTAACCAACTTTGAAATCTATTTGAATTTAACTGTTGAAAAAAACAACAGAGTATTCATATCAGTTTAAAGTTTTAACAGTTGCTTATGGTTCATTATTATTCATTATATAAACGTTTATTTAAATTTATATAATAGACGAAGGTAATACAATATTTTTATAGATGATATTATTTTTAAAAACTGTATTATTAAAATTCAGAATTAAAATATGTAAAAAAAAATATTTACAAACATTGGACAACTTTATATTTCAAATAACCACACTTTTTATGAAAGTGAGGTTATTTGAAAAGAATATTTTTTTTTAGAAAAAGATCAAGTTATAGGATAAAATAAAGATTTTTTTTGGATAAAAGAAACAAATTTTAGATAAAATAAAAATAAAAATTTTTACAGGAGAAATGTTTTTCATTCTCTTGTAAAATTTTAATTTTGTGACTTGTCACATTTTCAAAATACAGCACTCAATTAAGCTATTATGTTTTTTTTGGTGCTACCCATTTAATTTTTCTGAAACTTATGTTTTTCTTAGTGTTCGTTCTTAGTCATCCTTAATAATAAGATCCATACTAACATGTATAATAAGCTCCATACTAATATCCAACTTACTAATAGCTAAGTTTTAAAAGTTTTGTCATTGAAAGCATGTATAATCTTAGCATTTCCATTACAGTAGATAGTAATTTTAAACATTTTGTAAAAATGATTGTTAAAAATGGTCAGGGAAATTCATCTGACTTTTCAAAAAAGTCATTGATATTTATATAAATTGTTGGCTGCGAATCCTGTTGGAGAAACATTGTTTAATATGAATATTTTTTTGTACAGTGCAATCTGTATTTTATAAGAAACACAAAACAATTGTCGTTAATATGTAAGCTTAAACATTAACGAAAATTGTTTTGTGTCAGTGCCAGAAATTAATTTCATAATTCATAAAAATATTATGAATCCATTAGCAAGTACATATTTTTATCATTAAAAATTTGACTCTCTTTAATTTTATCTGTTTTATTAGTGATTGTTGTATTTACTTTCATAAATTCTAAATATAATATGTAATTAGTTGTATAGTTTCTTAATAATATAACTAACTTTAATGTTCAAGATAAAGTTGTATCCTTGAAAGATATGCTGGTATTATTGGCACAATGGGCAAGCATTGAAGTGCAATTTGGTAAAATACAAAACACATCAAATTCAGTTATAAAAATTTGAGTAACAAACGTAATATTTTTTTGTGATCTGTTTAGGCAATTTGTATGATATCTTAGTACAACTTATATACTTTAAATAAAGTACTCTTTGAAGATTTCTTGTAAATGTTATTATATATTAATTTAAGTCTAAACAAAAGTTACTTTAATTATTGCCAGGTTGTGTATTTTTGCAGGTCAATTATTTGGCACAATTTAGAGTTAAAAACAAAAGAGATTGTATATGTTATTTACTAAGAATTGTTTTTTAAAATGGCATAGCTGTAAAATTAAAATATACAGGGAGAGGACAAAAAATTGGAATAGGAAAAATGTTGATTGCATATGTTGCTATCGGTAAGTTGGTTAGAAAAGTTTATTTTTTTAGTCTTAATTTTGCATTACAGAAATAATTTCAATTTGTTATGTTTCTTTGGTGCATAATTAAACAAACAACTATTGTTTTTTTTTGTAGAAACTGTGAAGTCAAATAAGCATGGCTTATGCAGACATATGATAGAGATAGTGGAAGAAAAAATAATAATAGTGGGTACCAAATATCATAAGCTAAACACGATTCAATAACAAGTAGCTTAGCCAATATCAAAACTACTCTATAAATTTTATAGTGACTTTTTTTATTTGAAACTCAATTTGTCAGTTTTTGGTTTAAGTTTGGCGTTTGCAATGTGTATATTTAACCGAGAAATTACGTTAAATATATAATTTTTTATACGTGTGTCATACATTCTTTTTTTTCTCCATAAATTTTTAATGTAGCGATGCAAATCATTTTATTTGTAACAACGATCTAATGTTGCATAAAACGTTAGGCCGATATACGATATACGATATACGATATTGGACCAATGTTGTATACAACGTTAGGCCAATTTTGTATACAACGTTGGGCCGATGTTGTATACAACATTGGCCTAACGTTAGATACAACGTTGTGCCAATGTTGGGTAAACGTTGTATACAACATTGGGCCAATGTTGTACACAACGTTGGGCCAATACCTAACCAATGATCAAACCTGCATTGGGCCAACATTAATTTTCAACGTTGGGCCAATGCATCATCATGCATTGGCCCAACGTTGGTCCAATGTAAGCTTGCTGTGTGAGATAAGTCTCTTTGGAATTAATAGCCCATAGTATAAGTCCCTTTGGACTCCACAAGTAATATTCAGATTATATTGTGAAGAAGATCCGTCGACATGTTTTAAGTAGCTTTTCGGTAGTTTTAAAACATTACCATAATGTTCAAGTTTTTTAAACAGTATTTTATGGTCAATTGTGTCAAAAGCCTTAGATAAGTTTTTATAGACGCCAAAAGTAAAATCTGACTTTTTGAATGAATTAGTTATACAACGAGATAGATGAATTATTGCATGTTCAGTAGAGTTATTTCTTTTAAACCCGTATTGATTTATGTAAAGTATATTATTAACAGCAAAATAATTAGATTATTGGTTGAACATATTTCTTACTCAAAATTTTGAAAAATGAGAAAGGATAGAAATTGGTAGATAAATACTGACATTTAATGGGTCACCTACTTTAAGTATGGGCGTTAATTTGGCTACTTTCAATTGATCGGGGGAAATTCCTTGATTTATAGACCATTTAAAAACTTTAAAAAGAATTTATTTTATGGTATCGTATGAATCTATGACTATATTACAACTTATACCATCAGGACCAACTGCTTTATTAGTTTTAAGCATTTTAAAAACATTTTCAACTTAACTTTTCCAGGTTTGCCACGACTTTAGCCAATATTAACAAATTTTCAAGATTTTTAAGGTACAGTACGAACTTTGTCCAATGTTTGTAAATAATTTTTTTTACATATTTTAGTTCTGAATTTTTTTAATACAATTTTTAAAAATAATATCATCTATAAAAAAATTGTATTACCTTCGTCTATTATATAAATTTAAATAAACGTTTATATAATAAAAAATAATGAATCACCAGCAACTGTTAAAACGTTAAACTAATATGAATACTGATATGAATACAAATACTGTTGTTTTTTTTTCAACATTTGATTTCAAATGGTTTTTAAAGTTGGTGACACCAACTTTGAAATCCGACGAAAAATTTTTGTTACGTTCATTAACTTAAATGTTCTCAAAACAACTAAAAAACCTGGCCAGTTTTTCGCAATTAAATTTAATTTCTGTGGTCAGTATTCGAGAATAATCGCTTCCGCTTCCTGACCAAGCCTGTGGTGTAAGCTTTGATATGTTGATTATAACACAATAAAATGTTAATTAACACTCTGACTTTTTGACCGTAATATATGAAAAAGTCTTTAAAACTGTAAAAGTTAAAGCTATAAATAAATATTTTCAATCATCAGACATAAAAACTTACTATTTAATAAATTTTGTTCATTCAACTTCTCAGAGCAAACATTAAACTTCTGTAAAGAGTTTCAAGTTACAGGTAAATCCCAAAGTTTAATAATATTTTCTGTCTTATTATAAGAAATTGAGGGTAAATCATATACACCAAGATATACACATTTTTTGTCTCTTTGTCATTTTCGCTGTCTTCCTTTTTTTTCTCCAGAGCAGAAGTTTAGCCTTCAGCTAAATTTAATCTTATATTGCTTTAAAAATATATAAATCAAATCAATTATAATTAAGTTATAACTAAAGTTAATGTATAAGATTAAAGTTGTTAACTGTTGTACGCACACTAAATATGTAAAATATCCAGAAATATTAAATTAAAAAATAATAAAACCAAGAATAATGTCCCTCTGCCTCAGAAAGATGGAATATATAAAGGGTTGTTTCGATTTAAATTAGACAAATAAAAATAATGATTTAAATTGAGTTTTTTTATTTCAATTGTTTATAATGATTATTTATTGATTTAATCTTATAATTCAATTAATTATTACCCAGTAAGCACAAACACGTTCAAAAGACGTTTTAAAGATGTCTTTAAGGAGGTCTAAAATGCGCACTTGTAGACGTCTAGATCATAAGGCTAAAAGACGTCCAAATAAAGACGTTTTTATAAAAACGCGTTTTAGACGTATTTTAGACGTTTATTTTAGGATGAATTTAAGTACATGACGTAACATTTTCGCGTAGTATGTGGTATACATTCATTGTATTTATACGTCAAATATTGTTATAATTTCGTATATACAAAATATACATAGGAACCAGCAATCTAAATAATATAGCTATCATCAACAACGGTTAATGATGCAAAGATGAAAATAATAAATAACAATAACAATTATATATCAAAACAGTATTTTAAACATTTATAACTTATCTTTAGTTATTATAAAATCTAACTTATATATTGTTAGCTAATTTTTCACAGCATACTTGACTTATTATATGGCTTGTGGGTGTATAAAAACTAAAAATACTGATATTTATTTTATATATTATTCTTGCCATTTTCACTTATTTTCATGACCAGTCAACTATCTATTAAAAAAGCAAAATAATTATTAATAAAAAAAACATATATTAATATTATAGCAATTATTTTAGTGATTCCTGCGACAACAGTTTTAGCAATTGTGTAAAAAAGTAATTTAATTTAAAGTAATTTACATTTAAAACTTGAACAAATTATTGAAAATAATAAAAACTATGTTTTTACTTTGAATATACGACATCTACTTAACGCGTAATAACAAAGCCGTCAAAAAGAAGTCATAATGACATATTTATAAACAGGTCTCAGAAAAGACGTCTTTTAGCCTTGATCTAGACGTCTTTTAATGCGTCTTTTAGACTATTTATTATGCGTCTTTTAAACGTCTTTTTAAACTTTAAAAAGACGTCATTTTAAAAACGCCTTTATAAAAGACGTCTAGAAGATGTCTTAAAAATTGACGTCTTCTAGATGTCTTTTTATCTTTTAAAAAGACGCCTTTTGAACGTCATTTTAAAAACGCATTCATAAAAGACGTCTAAAAGATGTCTTCAAAGCGTCTACAAAAGTGCGTCTTTACCTAGACTAGTTTTAGTCGTCTATAAGTGTCTAAAATGCGTCTTGTGCTTACTGGGTATAGACTAGTCATTGGTCTTAAAATAAAATGTCTGGCAAGATTAGAAAGCTCTACATAAGTAGAATATAAATTTTAATAACATTACTTTGTGTACAGTTTTAATATATTAGTAAATATATTAAAACTGTACAAATATAGGTTTCACAATCAAACACAGAAAAAATCAAACAAAAAAGACATACTTAAAATGTAAAATATCAGTTTTTAATAATTTCAATGCCACATATGAATTATTGATACCTTTAATAATATATCTTATAATAGCTGTATAATCAAAACTTTTAAAAATAAATTATAAAAAAAAAAAAAAAAAATTTACTGTGTGACATTTCGAATTTTTGATTTATTTAATAAAGAAGATATTTAAAATGTCTTCTTTATTAAATAAATCGAACATTTGAAATGTTTCATTTATTTAACAAAGATTATTAAATAAATCAAACATTTGAAATGCCAATACAGCAATAAAAATAAAAAAATAACTTTAAGATCTTACACAAAAATAATTTGATTATTGCCTTTATTGTTACATTAATAATTTAGATTGTAGCAAAAAATGCTTTCAGCATATTGTTTAAATGTTAACAAATATTTCATTATTTAAAAAAAAAAACATTAAGTCTCGAGAATCTCTTGAAGTTTATTTCTTATAAGGAACCTTTTAAGATTCTTAGAAGATTAATAAATATACCTTCTTTTTTTTATTTTTATAATTTTAAAAAATGGAAAGATAATTTCAAAACTTTTTTTTATTCTGTCAAACGATACCATTTTTAAAAATGTTTTGCAATAAATTTTAAAGTATATATTAACCCGCAACTACATTGGCCGAATATTAGCTACGGTGTAAATGTAAGAACAGCAAAATATTAAGCCCAAACTACATTGGCCAAATGTTGGCCTAACGTAGTACGATAATTGCAAAAAACC